CCTAGCGCATCAATCGATAATGGAAGGTACAATGATAATAATAATAATGTATATTATTACTATTATGATAATACCGTCAGCCCGTGATCATAATAATAGTAATAATTAATAACAACTAATCACAATCAATGATACACACACACTCACACATCGAAAATATGAGATAATAGATAATAGATACATGTTGATTTATAAGTATAAATTAACAATAAATAAATATATATGAAAGAAGTTGACAACGATTATCGATTTCAGATAAATGTTATTCCAGCAATGATATGTAATAGAGGACATTAATGAGTAGTAATGGAGTAAGGAAGTGACTGACGTTGTTGTGTATGTTTTCAGTAATCATTAGTAATCATTGGTTATTTGCGGTATAGTGCGTTGGGTTGCGTTTGGTTGCATGGTTTTGTTGTTGTGTACAGACATTGTTCTATAAGTGTATGATCGCATTGAATTTTTTGGTTAGTGGTTCGTTGGCTTGGTGAATTTGGATGGTTATAATGTTATACAGATAAAAACTTAACTACAACTATTCTTATATGTTATCTATAAATTAACACTAACATTCAGATATTGTGTAGTGGTTGTGGTGTGGGTGTGTGTGTGTGTGTGCGTGTGTGTGTGTGTGCTACATGCATCGTGCGATTGCTGTTGTTAGAAATGCTGACACAGCTCATGCTAGTCTGTTAATATGTGGTTTCAATTGCTATTACTAACACATGTGTGTGATGTAATCCCACTACATCATCTTTATACTTAACTAGCACTCGAAACTATACATATCCCTATTAGTTCTTTACTTTGCATATGTCGTACTTCATTATATAAAAGTTGTGAAGTAGTTTAAGCTTGGAAAAGCGACCTTCTGTAACTTTGCACTCAATACAATCAATCGTGAAGTCCAGATATATTATATCTGTCAATTCTTAAAGTTACTCTATAAATGTATTTCGTTCCTGACTGGATGTAATAAATTGTATCCGTTTTTCCTCTTGATTGGGATATTCCATCAGAATTGTATAAACATTCAATGTTCTATCTGTAGTCACTGCACGTGCCATATTCTAAATTGCTTAACAGATATATGTTTATCTTTTAAATCACGACATCTTTTCAGTAATTCTTTATTGTACGCATAACTATCTTCCAACTATATTTAATAGCTCTGACACATTAATTTTACATGAGTTTGTATATCATGTTGACTATATTCTACACAACACATAAAGCATTTTACCACATTTAGATCATAACCTATTCACTAACATTTCAAATATCCATAGTATTAATATCTGATATTTTAGTAATTATCGGTGAAAATGTAAGATGAAGAATAAATCTTGAAATGGCGGTGTGGAGGCTTGTTAATGTGAGATAGGTCATGTAGCTAGTTAGAAGGTGACGATGAAATAGTGGAATTGTCTCGGTTTACTCACTACAACAAGTCAAATCAACAAACGACAAATATGCTATAAAAACTATCACCAATAACAATTCATCTAAGTTGCTTCATTCAATTCACACACACACATGGTTAAAATGCTTGCCTATAATGTTATCAACTCATCTTATACTTGATCCCTGCTATTTTAACACAATATTCATCTAATTCCACACACTATCCTTGATCAGTATCAACAATTCAGCGAATTAATTACAACTGATACACTACACGACTATTTATCACGTACGCAGCCTATCATACGCTAGATACATCACATCTACACATCAACGATTTTACTTGTTCTTCTATCGCACACGCATAAACACATCAACACACCACACAGCACTGCAATAAACACACACACACACACACACACACGCATACCACACACACCACACACACACACGCATAAACACACACACACACAACACACAACACACACACACACACACACACACACACACACACGATAAACACACACACACACGTGGTGTTAATGCATAAAGAGTCCAATGTATATGCGCACCAACACAATAATTACAATTAATTTCAAAATAATGATCTTATTTGATAACACTGTTGTTTTACCTTTCAATAAACCTATCTTGTGTATAGTGTCCTTTTCCTATTCCGCCATAACATATATTCCTGCCATAGTTAGTGAGAGAAAATAGGTTTACAAGTTTATTAACCATGTTAATTTTCCATATTATCAACCATCCACGTTTATTACCTGTATCTTTAGGGTGAGATGCAGAGAGGCAAAGCTACACTGTATATCAGGTCATACTACTATTACTAGGCGATTTAACCTCAAAGGATTGCTAGATTTAAACTGACAAGTTCAGAAGAAGATGCCGTAGCATATTTCAAGGAAACTTGATAGAAAAAGACGATTTATCCTTTTTAAGAAATGTCAATAATACAGTAATATGCAATAAGTAATATAATGTCAAATAATCATAGTCAGTGAAAAAAAATATCCTGATTAAATGTATGACGGCATTACGTAAAAATAACAATGATTCAAAGATATATACGAGACAGTGTCACGGAAGCCTGTGAATTATATTTCCACGAAAAATGACATCATGCAGGAACACGAATCAAGAAAGAGGTACAAAAGTTTGCTTTTGGATGCACGATCAGTTAGACCGGTGGTTCTCAAAATGGGTGCCAAAAGATATAATAAGATCAATTTTGTAACTAAATTAGGAGCTACTCTTTGTGGTAAGTATAAGTTACCTGTGTTTACTATATTTTTCTTTAGTTCTAGCAATTCGTGGAGCATGCGATGGTGTACTTTGTTGTAAGGTTAAATTCGTATAGAAATTGCATATGCACTGAAATAAACGTATATCTGTCAATCTATCATATATATACATTCATCTCTCTTTCTATACGGCAGATATGCATGTTTAGACTGACAGATATGCATTTATTTCAGTGTATATGCATGTCCGTATAATGAATGTTCACTGGGTTGGGCCTCGCACAGTTTTAACAAACCGGCCACTAAGTTCCATTAAATTTGACAGACGAAAATGTGGATGGCTTCGCACGCAGTAGTATAATCTTATAATCTTACCTCCTATTAGATCATTTAGAGAAATACTGGGGAATAAGTTGTGATTAATATTGTGAGTAATTTCTGCAAGGGTAAGTATAAGCGTAGAAAATAGCAGCCCTAGGTTAGTATACGTGTGTGTTGTATGTGTAAGTATAAACACAAATGAGTGTGTGTGTGTGCGCAAATACACACACAAATGAAGTGGCGGGCAAAATAACAACACGTAAAAAACAAGCATCTTTTCTGTTCACACCAGTTAATAGGCCAGGAAAACTTTACGTGAAATATCTGCTTATCTGCTCACCCCATTCACACTGGCCGTAGTTAGTTAATTGATAAACATATTTGCCTATTTACAAACATATGATTATATGAATGTGTTAATAATACATTCCTTTGCGCAAAGTGATAACCAACTAATCCTTACATCAGAAATTTGTAACGTACCATCTGACAAGACATGGTTTATGCATTGATTAAATTCAACTCAACAGAAAAAAACGTAGAAAATTTATAGTAGGTTCCGTTTATTCTTCCACATGTCTTACAGTGTCCACTAATTAATGATACCTCCCAACCTTAAAGTACTATCTTATTATTAGTTCTACAAGGTAAATAATTGATTGTTAAAAATGTTAATGAATCGTAATGTAACTTACTTTACATCTTTTTATATTCGTATTTACTGATGACATGCGATATAAGAAATGTAAGTCAAGCAATCATTAACATTTTAATGTAACAATAATGATAATGCTGATAAAAATGATAGTGATGATGAAAATGGTGATAAAGATGATAATAAAAAATGGTAGCCATATATGATAATAACAATGATAATGACAATAGTGATAATACTTTATATAGAAATAAGAAATGCAATGTAAATGATGATAATATTAATAATAATGATAATAATAATAATAGTAATGATAATGATAATAATAGTGATGATGATGATAATAATGATAATAATAATAACAATAATAATAATAATGATATTGATAATGATGGTAATGATGATAATGATAATAATAATAACAATAATAGTAATAATACTAACAATAATAATAATAATAATTACAGTGATAATAATAACAATAATAACAGTGATAATAATAATAATAATAATGATAATAATAATAATAATAAAAACAACAACAACAACAACAACAACAACGAACAACAACAACAATATTAATAATAATAATAATAATAATAATAACAATAATAATAATAATAATAATAATAATAATAATAATGATAATAATAATATAATAATAATAATAATAATAATAATAATAATAATAATAATAATAATAATAATAATAATAATAATAATAATAATAATAATAATAATAATAATAATAATAATAATAATGGTAACATGAATCATCGGAGTTTTATTCAATAATCATAACCATATTCATAGAGAGCCCTCATAAGATATATACTATATAGCCATATGCATCGTAGAACAGAATAACATTCATGAAATCTAGACATTTCTCTACAGCAAAATAGTCGTTTGTTATATTGGTCATCAGTAATGTCATATATATATATTTTAGATACTACATCACTACGCTCATGATAAAAATAAAAATATTAGAAAAAAGTGTTGATCACCAAAGTTATTATAAATGTAATAAGAATTAAGATTCGAAATACTTCCTCCTGCTGTTGCAACCATCTCATCTTTAATCTCACAGCCTCCACAGCATCTGAAAGCAAAATCTAATGAGAGTGAAATTCGGACCAGCTGAGCTCCTGGCTGTGCCTCGCATCGTACGGCTGGCAACTCGTCGACGTTTCTCAGGAATGGTCTGCGGAGCGACGAGGCTGCAGCACTACGTTTGAAATCTCAATTATGATTGGTCGATTTCGGAGCTTCGACCAATCCGCTGTCTTATTACATGGTCTGATGTTTTTCTATAGTTTCATCTGATTGGTCGTTTCATCCCGCATCCACCAGTCGTAGTCATCGTACGAAGGCGCCAAGGCTCGCCCTTTATTTTGCTTCTGTGTCAGTTTGGCAGTGTGAAGGGTGGAGTGTACACGTATTTGTCATTTGTCTGAGTATTTCGAAGAGAACGTGCGATCATAAACAAAGGTAAAGTTGCCATCTTCTCTTCTATGGTTTGAGGTGGATAATCACACGCATTCATCTGCTCACAACACTCGTTTATGGTACGAATCGCACGTAATAGCGAGGATACATCCAGTGTCATTGTACAGTGAGGATCTATCTTATCCATATCAGTTTTAAAATCCGTAAGTCTCTTTTAGCTCCTGTTCGTATGTGACGTTGTAATAGCTTCATTAACTAGGACAAAATGACACAAAATCATCTTTGTATTTTAGAAAAAATTAACGAGTGTGAACCACGTAGCTCCAAGAATATAAAAATATAAAGTTATTGTATGTGATAATCGTCTGTTTATTTTCTGTTATTTTCATATTTTTAGGTCTTGTCAGGACTTTGTTTTTCTTTTATTTTCATATTGGATTTTCACAAAGCGTGCACCATTTTGTTTGGTCATAGGATAGCATCTGTATGTTGAAGTTATGTTGTTCTTTTAATAATTTTGCTGAATGGCACTTAGTGGGAAAACACTCATGCTGTTTGTGTCTTTAATTGATGATTAATTTGTTCTTTGAAAACAGGTTTTTTTTTTTTAATTCTGTTTGCGTTAACTGTGTTTGTTGAAAGGTTTGCAGTATTTTTGTTTGGTAGACATTCACTTGAGTTTTGGATGTATTCTTTTCAGTATTATGTGTGATAAATTACACACACACACACACACACACACACACACACACACACACACACACACACACACACACACACACACACACACACACACACACACACACACACACACACACTACACACACACACACACACAGAATCACACATTTACACATATATCATATATTTAAGTATATATATATATATATATATATATATATATATATATATATATATATATATATAATATATATTTATGCATATAAACATAACAAGATTTTATGAGATGATTAGTTGTAATATTTGCATTGGTAACAGGACCCCTGATTAGGGTGATGATATAAGCCACACAAAGCAAATGATAACATTGTCCAGCTGTATTGTCTTCTGCACATTAATTGTCACAAGTATGATCGAACAGAAGCAAGTACCTCCTCTGTTTGCAAACTACGAATGTTTTTGAAAATGGATCTGCTTTTTTTTTCATTGCGAATTTTGTAAATGAGACTGGATAATCTGGCAGTGGAGTTTGTGGATGTCATTGATGTTTTGATAGTTCTGTCATCAGTGGAATTACATGACATATTTTAGTTTCTCATTCATACTTTTTTTTTTTTTTTCTTAACATTTTTCAGCGTGAACAATGCCAGCCAGCATTTTGTTATGACCCAGTTGTTTATGTTTTGAAAACATTTTGAGCTTTATCATTTACTATAAAGTTTATTCATTGCAACACCCAAATATCTCTGAATCACTCCCCTTATGGAAAAAATTATATAATTGTACGTAAATTATTTTCTTATTTAAATGTTCATGTCCTTCACTTTGAGAATGGGAAAAGTATATAGTCTTTAGCAAGTATACTATCTTTTATACATAGATACGTATTCGACTCACAGGGCGCTGGAGTTTGCAACAGCGTTATTTGTCCAAAGTCTAATCCTCTGGGACACCCATTTAATGAACCTTAAGCTGGCCTAAAACCCCAGGTATCACTCTGAGGCTGGGTCAGAGTATTTTATTTCATTTTATTTTTGTTTTTAGTATATTATATATGTATATATATATATATATATATATGTATATATATATATATATATATATATATATTATATATATATATATATATATGTATAATATATATATATATATATATATATATATATATATATATATATATATATATATATATATACGTATGTATGTATATACATGTGTATATATACACCCACACTTACACACATATGTATATATAAATATGTATGTATACATATTATTATATATGGAGGCTGTCACTAACTCTCTCTCTCTCTCTCTCTTCTACTCTCCTCTCCTCTCTCTCTCTCTCTCTCTCTCTCTCTCTCTCTCTCTCTCTCTCTCTCTCTCTCTCTCTCTCTCTCTCTCTCTCTCTCTCTTCCCCCCCTCTCTCCTTCTCTCCCTCCCTTCTCTCCCTCTTTCCTTCCCTTCCTCCCTCTTTCCTTCCTCCCTATCCCACTCCCTCCCCTGCTCTCTCCCCTCCCTCTTTCCTTCCCTCCTTATCCCTCTCCTCCCCCCACTCTCTCTCTCTCTCTCTCTCTCTCTCTCTCTCTCTCTCTCTCTCTCTCTCTCTCTCTCTCTCTCTCTCTCTCTCTCTCTCTCTCTCTCTCTCTCTCTCTCTCTCTCTCTGTCATACATATATTTATACTCATACACACATGCATACACGTACATACACGGTAGAAAAGACCACAATGCACATACTTTTTCAATGAACCTAGTTTGTGCATTGTGGGTTACCTACCATAGTATCAACACGGTAGTATTTTTCCATTCAACATACATACTTACATGCATTGTTTATTAATTGATTCATTCATTTATAATTCTCCTCATCACACTTGATATATTTTTAGCACTTCCCACATAAACGGAATAATACTAATGTAATTATAGAAGCGGGTCACATTTCGTAATAACAGGGATAATGCGTCACATTTATATCTCATCCGCTAATCCTCGTTATATATTTGCATTGTTTAATGAATGCAAATAGCTTATGGTGAGGCCTAGTTATGATATGCAAACTTTTTTTTTGACCCTGGAACATTAAAGTGTTCATTAGCCTGGTTTTACATGGCATTATGTTGACTTGTAAATAATTTTTATTTATATATTTTAGATTTTTTTTAATTGGCCCTTTGACTTTTTTAAAAGTAATATCGATGTTTTAAAAATGATTTATATATTTCTGCAGCTTAAATTATTGTCTGTTCTAGTTGTATGGACGCCTATGTCGTTATTACAATAAGTTTATTACGTCAACAATACCGTCGGGTATGTGTGGTTTATTCAGTAATGATGTTGTTTTCTCTCTGTTGTTGTTATGAGCCTCATTGGCAAGCGCCGCTCTATAAGGCTGGCTCTGTTATTCACACGATGAGGAAACCCTGCATTACGATATTGGTACCAAGACTTTTTATCTTCGTAGACACTATACTGTTAGCCAAGGCCTCGGCATATCAAGGAGAAAAGTAATGCTGTTCTTATCCAAAATATTTGGTGTGGGGCAACTGCTCGAAGGCTTCCTGGTTGTTCTAGTGTAAATAATGGAATTTTTAATTAATTGTTTGAGAGTGCAGGCATGGAAATGAACTTTACACAAATTTCCGAACCAACTCAGGCACGCGCTCCCCCATACAGGGTCACTCACTTTCACACACACTCATACTCACACATAAGCACACACACACAGACTCACACTCACATTCATACTCACACACAAAAGCACACGCACACACAAAAGCGCGCACACAGACAAAGGCACACATACACAAAAGCACACACAACAAAAAACACACATACACAAAAGCACACACACACAAACACATACACATGCACACACATGCACACACATACATACACACACGCACACACATACACATACCCACATATACATATACACATACATACCCACACACATACATACACACCACACACATGCACACCACACACACAGCACACCCACACACATGCACACCCACACACAGACATACACCCCACATACACACGCACACCCACACACACACCACACACACACACACACACACACACACACACACACACACACACAAACACACACACCACACCAACACACACACACACACACACACACCACACACACACACACACACACACACACACACACCACGCACATGCACACGCACATGCACACATACTTACATACATACATACATACATACATACATACATACATACATACATACATACATAACGGGTGCGCTTGGAACGACCTTGCTGGTGGCCGTCGACCGCAACCTCCGCGGGATGAGGGAACCACACCTCTCCCCCCCCCCCTTCCCCTCCCCCCCCTCCTCCACGCTTTGCCTTCTGTCCCTCCCTCCCTTCTTGTTTTCTTCCTTCTTTCCTTCCTTTGTCTTTACGCTCTTCCTCAGTGTTCTGTCTCCATCCCTTCCCTTCTCCTCCTCGTCTCTTCCTCTCTTCGTCTCTCATTTTTCTCATCTCCCTCTTTTCTTTTTCTCTCCTCACCTCTTTCCTCTTCTTTTCTCTTCTATTTCCTCCCTTCTCTCCTCTCTCTCTCTGGTCGTCCCTTCCCTCTCCTCTCCTCCCACTTCTTTCCACACTTCTCTATTTTTCTTCTTCTTCCTTTCCATACATCTTTACGCGTTCTCTCCTCCTCCGCCTCCTTCCTGATTCCCATAATTTCCTTGGGGCTCCCATACCCTCCTCGCCACACCATCCCTGATCCCATAATTTCCTTCCCCCCCCCCCCTCTCTCTCCTCTCTCTCTCTCTCTCTCTCTCTCCTCTTCTCTCCTCTCTCTCTCTCTCTCTCTCTCTCTCTCTCTCTCTCTCTCTCTCTCTCTCTCTCTCTCTCTCTTCTCTCCCTCTCCCTCTCCCCTCCCCTTCTCCCTCTCTCCATCCATTCATCCATCCATACCCCTTCCCTCCCTCCAACACTTCTCGTTTCCCTCCCTGCCCCCTCTAGCCCTTCCCTCCCTCCCTCCCCCCCCCTTCCCTTTGTCTCCCTGATTCCTTCCCACCCCTCTCCCTCCCTCCCTCCCCTCCCTGCCCTACCGGACCACCCCGTCTTACCGGCAGGCTCGTCCGTCTCACGCGGCGCCCCCTCCCCACGCTGTCCCCTTTTCTCCCTCGCTCTCGTCACGCTGCTTCTCACACTTATTAAGCATTCACCTTTAGGGGCTGTAGGGGGGGGCTAGGGGGTGGGGGGAGGGGAGGGGGTAGCTGTGCCTGGCGCTTTACGGGCGTGGGTCTCCTTATCGCTAGTTTTTTTTTTGGGGGGGTATTTGGAGGGAGGGGGTTGTTTTGGAATTATTACGTTTTGTCTATACTTTTTTGTGATTTTTTTTTTAGGCAAGGGTTGTTTTTAAGCCGCGATTGTTATGATTGTGCGATTATCATGATTGTGATCGTAATTGCTGTTTGTTGTACGCGTGTGACTTACGTATTTTTTCTCCTTCTTTCCAGATTATCAGACGAGTTTATCCCGAAGACGCGAAAGTCACCCGGAAGATGGGCACCCGGCTCCCCTCCCCCCACCGCGGCGACGGCTCGCTCCGATGCCCCGCGCCCGAAACGAAATGAATTGTGATCAATAAGCCCTGCGCGTGTTTGTTTTTTTCATCATAAGTCTGTTGTAAATAGAGGTTGTCGAGAGGTTCAGGTAACGCGCGAGATGGCCCCGGGAAAGCTCGAACGGCCGAGGGCGAACCAGGCGTGAGAAGCGACGTGTCCAGGTGTGACTCGGGAAAGGCCACCGCGCGCTGCTGAAACGGGGAAGAAAAGAAAAGAAAATAGATAGATAAAGAGAGGAAAATAAATAAAAATAAAGAGAGAGAGCGAAAAGAGGGCGTATCGTTCATATTATTTTTGCATGTGTGAGAGTGCAGGCCTACCCAACAAAATGAACGGCCTTATGGTTCGCAAGAAGAAGTACCGCTTCCAGGTGGACGTGCGGGTCGAGGAGCTGCAGCACGTGCCCTTCGTCAACCAGGTGCTGTTCGCCAAGGTGCGCCTGCTCGATGGGGGCTTCACCGACCACTCCACCAGGTGAGGCCCGATGTGGTTTTCCAAGTTCTGGGGTGTACTTTAAGGTGCCTTGGGGTGTTTAGAGGTGTGTTAAGGTGTTTTTGAGTTGTTTTTGAGGTATTTTAAAGTGCCTCGAGGTGTTTAAAGGTGTTTCAAGGCGTTTAAAGTTATTTTTAAGGTGTTTTGGGGGTGTGTTAAGGTGCCTCGAGGTCTGTAAGGGTATTTTAAGTTATTTTTTAGGTACTTTGGGGTGTCTTGAGATGTCTTAAGGTGGTTTAGGTTGCCAGAATCCCTTAATCTGTATCTGAATATGACTTACCAGTTTGTAAGTCGGGGCCGATCGGGAAACGAGATTCTGTGTCTCCCGCCCGTGAGAGATTTCTGTTCTGGTCTCGACGAGTGTGTGTCTAGCAGTAGGTTGGGGGGAAGGGGTTGGAATGGTGGGGTGGGGTGGGGGGGGGCAGGGGAGAGAACACCTGCCGTCCCGCGTGTTATCTCCGTGTTACGAGTTTGGGGGAGGGGAGGGGTGTGGGGAAGGGGGGAAGGGGGAGTGTGGTCGCGTGTCTGTCAGTTCCTTTTACCTTCAGACATCTGCTGTCTTCTTCTTTTTTTCTTTTCTTACTTTCTTCTTTTCTGAGGGAATAAAGTAGTCTTAAGTCAAGCGTGTCGTAAGAGAGGGCTTTAATTTTTGATCTAGCTCGTCATTTTGATATGATTTAGCCTTGAGTTTTTCTTTTGTTCTTCTTCTTCTTCTTCTACTTCTTTCTTCTTCTTCTTCTTCTTCTCTTCTTCTTCTTCTTCTTTCTTCTTCTTCTTTACTTCTACTTCCACTTCTCCTTCTTTCTTCTACTTCCCTTCTTCTTCTTTCTTCTTCGGGAGCCTCCATTAGAAGGAAGACTAGCTTTTGCAGATTTCATGGATTTCCCACCCGGAAAAAAACACACCAAAAGACACACGAAAGAGAATACGGGAATAACGCCACGAAAGTACCCCGAAGACACGAGGGAATTCGTCAGTCCCGGAGGCGGAGACATCACGGGGGGAGTCGCGACGATCCTTCCGATGAGGCTCAAGTTATGGCGCTTGGTCACGGGGAAACCAGGGGGGGGGAGGAGAGGGAGTGGGAGGGGGGAGGGAGGGGGGGGGAGGAGGGAGAGAGGAGGGAGGAGGAGAGGTAGAGAAAGAGAGATTAGAAAGAGAACCAGAGAGACCAGAGAGAGAAACAGAGATGAGAAATAGAGGGAAAGAGAGAAACAGACAAGACACAGAGAAACAACAACACACACAGAGAAACAGACAGACAAGAGAGAAACAAAACACAGGGAGAAACAGACACAGAGAAGAAAAGAGAGAAAACAGACCAAAGAGAGAAACAACACAGGGAGAGAAACAGAGACACAGACAAAGAGAGAAACAGACACAAGAAATAGACGCAGACACAGAGAAACAGACGAGAGCTAAAGCCAAAGGAGAGAGAGAGAGAGAGAGAGAGAGAGAGAGAGAGAGAGAGAGAGAGAGAGAGAGAGAGAGAGAGAGAGAGAGAGAGAGAGAGAGAGAGAGAGAGAGAGTCACCACCCCAGACTAACACGCGAGCAGAGTGCCGTTCCACCCTAGTATTAGTGTGGAACGGAAGACATGCCTATCGCTGTTGGTGAGGCGAGTGGAGTGGGATTGTCAGAATAAACTCACTCGAGGCAGGGGAGGGTAGGGTAGGCTGTGGGGGGGGGGGTGCGATGGGAGGTTGGTGGCATGGCAGGTGGGTGGGGGTGGGAAGGTAAGAGGAGAATGGGAAGGGAAGGGTAAAAAAAAAGGGGGGAAAGGGAAGGGAAGGGAAAGGGTGGAGGAAGGGGGAGAGGAGGGAAGGGTAAGTAGAGGAAAAGGGGAGAGGAGGGAGGGGGGAAAATGGAGGCAGGAGGGTGAAAGATGGGAGGAGAGAGAGAGGGGGAGAAGAGAAGGGAAGGACAGGAGACAGGATAAAGCAGGAAGGGAGAGGAAGAGGATAGTGAAGGGGAAAACGTAGGCAGGAATAGGAATGTAGTGAGGAAGGGACTAAGGGAGCACGTCGAGGAAGGGAGGGAGGAGGGGGGGGGCTATCACTCCCCAAGGGCGGCCAGGTGTCAAGCGCGCCGACGCTTATCTTATCGCACTTGTCAACACGGAGCTACATGCCGCCGCCCCTCGAGTCGTCCGCTGGACTCCTCGAGGGACGGGGAGGGGGGAGGGGAGGGAGAGGGAGAGGGAGGGGAGGGAGGACCCAGAGTCACGTCCGGCGCCGGCAGAGTCTGTCTTGGTCGTCCTCGTCAGCAGGGCCCTGTATGCTGGTCGTCCTCGTCAGCAGGGCCCTGTATCCTGGTCGTCAGCAGGGCCCTGTATCCTTGCCGTCGTCGTCTGTATCCTTGCCGTCCGTCAGCAGGGCCCCTATCCTGGTCGTCAGCAGGGCCCCTATTCCTGGTCGTCAGCAGGGCCCTCGTCGTCGTCAGCAGGGCCCCTATCCTTCCGTCGTCGTCAGCAGGGCCCCTATCCTGGTCGTCAGCAGGCCCTATCCGTCGTCAGCAGGGCCCTGTGCTCGTCGTCGTCAGCAGGGCCCCTATCCTTGCCGTCGTCGTCAGCAGGCCCTATCCTGTTCGTCAGCAGGGCCCTGTATCCTGGTCGTCGTCAGCGGCCCCTATCCTGGTCGTCGTCAGCAGGGTCTGTCCTTATCGTCAGCGTCGGCCCCATCCTCGCAGCCCGTGTCGTGTCATTTGCCAGGGAGAGGCAGAGCGTCCCGAGGACTCGAGCAGCTGCGAGACGATCCTCCAGGACGTTTGGGAGTTGTAGGAAGTGCAGCTTCTCCGGAGCGGCAGAGACACTTGGCTCGCGATGGGCCGAGGGCGAGGCAGATAATCGGGCAGGTTGGGTAGTAAAGGTGATGAGGGGGAAAATGATGATGATGGTGATGTCAGTGCTAATGGTGGTGAAGACGATAATAGTGATCATGGCGATTGTTTTTGCCTGTGCTGTTATTATTATCATTATTGTTGTTTTTGTTGTTGTCGTTGTTATCATCACAGTTATTATCATTATTGCTGATATAATCATCTTTATCGTCGTCACCGTTATCATTATTGCCAACTACTAGTACCACGCCCTTCACCATTATCATCATGCCAACTACTAGTACCACGACTCAGGGAAATAACGAGGGAGCGACCCATAAGACACGACGTCGCTTCCGTCTGTTTACCTCTGACACTCCATTGTCGAGGAAAAGGCTTTCGATTCCGCCGCTTTCGAGCCTCTGGAAACCGCAACTGGAAGGCGACGATCAGCTTGGAGACCTGTGATGGCTGACGGGGACGGATTAGATGGGTGATTGTGATGGATGAGCTGCGCGGATGATGATGGATGAGGATGGCCGTCGACAGCAGGAGGGAAACAGACGCAAGATGATGAGGATGATGAGGGGTGATGATGATGATGATGGGGGTGATGATGAGGGGGTGGTGGTGATGATGATGATGATGAGGTGGTGATGATGATGATGAGGGTGGTGATGATGATGAGGTGGTGGTGAGTGATAATGTGAGGGTGGTGGGTGATGATAGTGGGAGTGATGATAGAGATGGTGATGATGGGAGTGATAGGGATGTTGATGATGGGAGTAATGGGAACAGTGATAGGAATGGTGGTAAAGTAATAAGTGTGATGTAAATGTTGATAGTGATGATAATGGGAATAACAAAGAAAAGGGAGAATGATAGAAATTAACACATCTTTAGACTATTTTTTTTTCTCTCTCTAAATATTTATAGTTTTGAAAAGAAAAAAAAGACGATATAATGAGGTTCAAAAAATGGGAGAAATGGAACGATTGACAGAAGATACGCCGTCAGAAGTGACACACGATGATAGGTAATAGATACGAATGAGTAATGGATGTTAATGAAATAACACGTGGGAAGCAGAGAGCGCAAGGGAGGCGGCGGATGGAGGTAATCTGAGCGCAGAAGGTCAGGGCGCCGTGAAGACAGACAGACAGCTGTTTGTTGTTTGTGTGCGGAATTGCGTGCGTGTGTGTCTGGGTCTGTCTGTGTTGGTGTCCGGCTGTTGTTATTTGTATTGTGTGTCTGTGTTTCTTTCTGTCTGCACTGCCGTGGCGGCGCGCGAACACACGCACACACAGGCACACACACAAAACAAAACAAACGCGAGAGAGAGAGAGAGAGAGAGAGAGAGAGAGAGAGAGAGAGAGAGAGAGAGAGAGAGAGAGAATGAATGAATGGTTGAATTGAACGGGTTATTTTTATGCAGGTTTACGTGTGTATGTGCATTTCTGCTGTTATGTATATTTTTGTTTTTGTATATCCACGTGTGCGGTTTCGGCATTTCCATGTGTGCATTTTTTTCTTTATGTGTTTTTTGCCGAATAAAAGAGGAGGATGAAGGTAGTGAGAAATTGAAGGAGAGGAAAAGAGACAGCAAAGACAGAAAATCCGTCTCCGTGTGTGTATGCCCGTGTTATATGCAGTACACTACAGTCTGTGTACTCGTGTGTGCGCGTCCGTGACTGCGCAAAGCACTCACCGCAAGGTCTCCGGCGCTTGCATTGACACGGGCCAACATACTCGGGGTCTGAAGGCTGCGCGGGGCTCTTGAATTCGGGCGCCGAAGGTTGCCGTCCTGTGACTGGGGATCCCGAAGAGGGCGCCGCCGACACTTCCTTGTTTTCCCGGGAAGGGCGCGGGAGGGGGGGTGCGATCGCGGTGTGTCGAAGGGGTGGGCCCTTTCCGCTTCCTGGGACGGCGGACGCGTGCGGATCTGCGGACAGGCCGGGCGTTGACGGAGCGCGTGGCGAGTCGCGAAGGTTTCCGAGGGACTTCCTGGGAGAATCCTGGGGACGCCATGTGCTTATTGATGGAATATTTGATGGCGCGGGGGCCCGTGCGGAAGCTGGGCGCGGGCGGCGGAAGGGTTGCTTTGGCACGTTCTCTTTAAAGTCGGGATTTTCGGTCGAAGTTCGGTTTTGGGGCCCTCCTGCCCGC